GTCTTGATAATCTCCAGCTTGTTCTGCAGATGGGCGGGACCCCATTAAAAGGATCAAGATGCCCAAGAGGGGGGGTGAATTAGGCTAATTCTAAATTTCTTTGCAATAATTAAATCCTACGGTTAGCCCAATTAACCCCTTGTGCCTAAAAAGTGTTTCTAGTTGTTATACCGCACAAATGACTTGCAACCTATGTTCTAATCCTACTCTAGCATGGCAATTCTAAGAATGTAAATGACAAGAATTGAATTGCTTAAAGTAAATGCTTAAAGTAAAGTGAGAAGGAGGAACGCGGCGATGTTTTGCCGAGGTATCAGAGAGTCGCTACTCCCCACTAGTCCTCGTTGGAGCACCCGAGCAAGGGTGTAGGTCCCTCTTGATCCACGCAAGGATCAAGTGCTCTCTACGGGTTGATTCTTCGACACTCCGTCGTGGTGAATCACCCACAACCGCTCACAACTTGAGTTGGGTCATCCACAAGCTCTCCGGATGATCACCAAGCTCTCCAATCACCACCAAGCCGTCTAGGTGATGGCGATCACCAAGAGTAACAAGCACGAACTCTCACTTGACCACAATAAGCCTAGGGAGAAGGGTGGATGCACACTTTGCTACTCTTGATCTCACTAATGAGGGCTCTCTTTGGGATTCTCAAATCTCAATCACCTCACTAGGACCTTGCTCTTCTTAGCACTCTCTAAGGTGTGTTTCAGCTGTTGGACCGGACGCGTCCGGTCACTATTTTCCCTCTCTAGAACCTTACTGGAAACGACCGGACGCTAGCTCTCAGCGTCCGGTCACTTGACCTTCCAGCGTCCGGTCACACCGAACAATTTCACCTCGGTCAAATGAACTGACCGGACTCTACGCCAGCGTCCGGTCACACCAAAGCCAGCGTCCGGTCAGTATTTGACCCTCCATTCACTTCCAACTCTCGATCATATGTGAATGAAGTTTGCTCTAATGAATCTTAGGCATATGTAGGAGCTACCTAGCGCTAGTTTGACAAGTGTGCACCACACCTAACTCACTAGACTCACCTAGGTCAAGCTACCCGTCCATACCCCCCTTAATAGTACGGCCAAAGGAAAAACAAAGTCCTAAACTACTCTAAGTGTCTCTCCAACTCCAATCGACACTTAGAACTAGTCCATCCTTAACCTTGTCGTCCATCCTTTGAAAACCAAAACGATTTCCATCGTAGGGGCATGTCCACCATGATTGCCCAATCGATCTCCATTACCATGACCTAACTTAATTGCCTCTGCAAAACACACGTTAGTCATAGTAATCTTGTATTGTCATTAATCACCAAAACCCAACTAGGGGCCTAGATGCTTTCACCCATGACCAGCTTTCCCTCCTCTTCGGCCTCTCAGTGAACGTCGAGAATGGCGCCCCGTCCGGGTTCCTAATGTAGAACCACTTGTCGTGCCACCCCCGGTTGGAGTCACAGGGGGAGTACACGGGGTAGGGGACCAATGGCTTCGGCCTCTTCTGCAGGGCAAACCCCCTAACCAGTGCGATTCTAGGCGGGTTCCCCTCGGACAGGGCTTGCCCGCTGAAAATCCACCGGAAGATGTCCACGTGCGGCTCCATCCCGAGAAAGGCCTCACATATGGTGATAAAGCCGATGATGTGCAGTACCCCAGTCGGGTTGAGGTGTTGCAACTCCAGGCCCCACTCGTTGAGGAGCCCGCACAGGAACCAGTGAGTGGGATACCCGAGCCCGCGCTCGTGGAAGGCAAGAAAGGAGATGACCTCATTAGCCCGGGGTTGTGGAACAATCTCCCCTGGTGTAGGAGCCCTCCAATGCGCCACCTCCTTTGATGGGAGCAACCCCTTCTCGGTGAAGGCGGCTAGCACCTCCTCATCCATGTTGGAAGGCCTCCAATTCAATATCGCACCTCGGATTTACGAACGAATCTATGAGTTTTTCCTCTCCCTCGCTCTGCCCTCCTCTCTCCTAGAAACCGCCGTGGCACACAAACAGGCTTGGCAAAAAGAAGGAAGGATAAATGGTAGAGGTTGAAGAAAGGTGAAAGAACAGGAGGAAAACCCTCTCCCTTTCCCTTATTTAATAAGGAAAGGCGTACGGTGGGACGTGGCCCTGGCTGACGAGATGCGGCCTGCCAAACGAAACGTCGCTTGGCTAACGGGACATGGCCTAGGCGGGGCCCACCACTATCGCAACCTAGGCATGGGAAATAAGGCGCAACCGCACACAAACGACCCTCCGCCTTCCCAGGCAGGGTTTAGAGGGGCCCACCGATGGAATCTCCATCGAGGAGAGGCCAATGGGTTACCCGAGTCGATCGGACAGCTCGGGCGGCTACCGAGAGACAGGTAAGGAGCAATGGGATGCCCCATGCAGGTTATGCCGACCCTGTCATGAACGACGGACATGGATCCCACTTGAACATATCCGATAGGAGCTCCCCGGACCCATCACTCGAGCCATCAAGGTAACTTTACCAACCCCCGTTCTACTTTCCCAGTGCATGAGCATTCATTCATCCATTCTCATGCATGCATTCATCCATACATTCATCTCATACATCCAAGCATTGCATATGCAATTGTTGCATCATAACGTTTCGCTTCGCGTCACGAAGCGGTAGTCGTCTCATTCGATATGAGCGACGACCGACCGGGGTTTGAAGGCCGGCCTGCAAAGGGCTCGAGGCCGCCTCACGTCAAACAGAGCCAGGAGAGAAAATGCAGATGAGCCCCAGTGTCCTTTGCCTGATCCGCTCAGAAGCGGACAGGGTCATCTCGACCTTCTCGTTCGATCCTGATCTCGAGCCATGCCTATAGAATCTCTATCAAGGGGAGGCCAGCAGGCCACCTGAGTCGATCTCCGGAATGGCTCGGGCATCTACCGGGAGACGGGTTAAGGAGCAGTGGAATGGCACATGAGGGCTATGCCGACCCTGTTACGAATGACGGACCTAGATTCCACTCGGACATGCTTGTTAGTGAGCTCACCGAGCGCGTCACTCGAGCCATCGAGGCAAGTGACGTTAGCTCAACCCCTCTGATTGCGGAAACCGCGGATAGGGTGACGCACGAAACTCGACTGACCCCTACCGAGCCCTACAGGGCTCTAGGGCTTGGGCCACCCGACCCCGACTTAGGAGTCCAGCCGACTGCACAGGTTGCGATCGGAACGGACACGGGCGAACACCCCGACCGGAAGAGACACAAGAGTCCGCAGCCCCAAAAAAGAATACCAAGGTACTCAGCCTCCGACCGACTCCCTAGTCGACCGTAGGCTCAGGGACTACACCCACCAGGCGGGGCAGATAAGATAAGGCGCTCAAGTCAACAGTAATATCGAGAACCGTACCTTGCCATACCCTGCGCACCTGCAGGACGGTGCCACTAGACTATGACAGACGGACACTCTACAACCTTCCAGACATGTCAAAGCATAAACAGTGTTGTGGGCGCCGTCGTTTGCCGTACTAGGTGAACACAGTAGAGCCTTCCGGACGTATCTGGGCATAAACAGTATTGTGGGCGCTGGCAGCCATCTCGTACCCGACAGCATGGGCAACAAAACTAGGTAGCACACGTACGCACTCTCTCTCTTTCTCTCTGACTTGTAAGGCCATCCCCTTCACCTATAAAAGGGGATGCGCTCTCTCCCAACAAGGGGACGCTAGACGACTTGAGGACTCGATGACCTAAGGACTCGAACAGCTCAACAACTCTAAAACTCGACAGCTATACAGAGCATATGCTCCAATACTTAGCGCACGTTAGAGCACCCGTCACACTCTTCCATTCAATTCAGAGTCCGACCGGGCCTCTAACACCCCTTCTCATTCCTTACTCGTTTGTATCCCCACAGCAAACTTCGAACACCTGGGCTCAGGAATAAAGTCACCGACCGACTGAAACTGAACGTAGGGCACGTTGCCTGAACCAGTATAAATCCTGTGTCATCACGTGCTAGGCCACATCCGATCACAACGCACGTCAAAAATACAAATATTTACTTATCGGCCACATTTCGCACCGACAATTGCCATCGCAAACAATGAACCTCCTACGTTTTTTCCACTTTCGCTGATGTGGCACACCAGGTGGGCATGCCAGTGTGACAGCGAGCCTACAGGGCATGCAAAATTACCTGTTTACCCATACAGCTTCTCTCTCCCTCCTCTCGCTAACGCGTGGGCCCTCTTCCTCCTCTCACTGACGCTTCTCCTTCAACCCCATCTCTTATGCGCAGAAGTCAGTGCTGGTGATGGTGGCAGAGGAGCGACGCGGTCGGAGGGGCAGCGACGGACGAGGCCCCTCCGCTGTCCTCTGCTTCGGCAACGACGACGGCCATGGCGGTGAAGCGCGGTGAGGAAAAGAGATGGGGTTGAAGGAGAAGCTGACGTGTGGGGCCCCCGCGTCAGCGAGAGGAGAAAGAGGGCCCACACGTCAGCGAGTAGACTGAGAGAGAAGCAGCAGGGGTAAATAAGTAATTTCGCATGCCCGGTAGAGGTTTCAAGGCTCGCTACCACGCTGGCATGCCCATCTAGTGTGCCACATCAGCGAAAGTGGTAAAAACGTAGGAGGTTCACTGTTTACGATAATAATTAGGAACGCGCATAAAATTGACAAAAAAAAGAAGTGGCATATGACAAAAAAAAAAAAAGTCCACTAAAAAAACAGCTCGGCCGGCACGGGGCACGGGCACGGGCACGGCGACCACGTGACACCCACCTCGTCGTCCCTTCCGCGGCCAGCCAGGCAGCCAGGGCCGGCCGGCCGAGGCAGCCGCGCCCACGTGCATCCCTCTTGGACGAAGCAGCGGGCCATGACGTGGCTTGGGGCGAGTAGGCGACTTAGAAGTAGAAGAAGTAGGCGAGCGACCGGCACGCCGCCCTGTCTCACCTCCCGACTCCTCCCTTCCTCAGTTCCTCGTAGTAGTCTCCCACGACTCATCTCGCCGCCGAGGTGAGCGAGGAATTCGTGGTTCGTGCCCTGCTCACCTCGTGAGGATGCGGATCGCGAGGCGGCTCTTCCTCGCGGCACCGGCGCTGCTGTTGGGTCTGCTTCTGCTCGTCGCGGGGCCGGTGGCGGCGCAGGACGCGGCGGTGGAGGGCGTGGCGCCGGCGGCGGATGAGATCGCTGCGGGCGCGAGGGCCAAGGAGGCGGCGGTGCTGGCCGCCGAGCTGGGGCAGCTCAGGGCGAAGATCTCCGCGTTAGGTGCGTGCACGCTTACCTGATTCACGCTCCGCTTCGTGCTGTTCTGCTGCGTCGTCGGTGGGGTTTAGCTGACTCGCTAGGGTTCAGGTGGAAATTCAACATTATGTTGTGACGGAACGGGGTAATGCGAGATGAGACGAGTTGGGTTGGGGGAGGGATTGGTGAGTACCTGATGGTTTGGCTGCTGTTTCACTGGGTTGACGTTTCGACTTGAGACGATTTCAAATGCTTAGACGAAGGCCAGGTTTATCTGAAAAATGTTTCTGTTCAAACCTTGCAATTTAGAGCAAAAGCCTTTGTCATTGTGCCTACATTCCCCTTGCAAGTTAGAGCACATTATGCTCATACCAATCTATCGTGTTTTGTAAGCTACAGTTTCAGCTTTTGTCTGAGAGTGAAGCAATTTGGGGGAAAATAGCCTGTGTAGCTGAGTGCAAGTTTGTACCAACTTCTAATCATGACAAACTGCTTTGTCGTTTTTCTTCTTAAAATTTTGAACAGTGAGAAACTGGCATGATTGTTTTCATTCTGCAGTCTCTCGCATTGCAGAGCAGAACCTGGAGTTGAAGACCAAGAATGATGCAATTGAAACACTGGATGTGATTGTCAAGGAAAAGTCACAGAAGATAGCTACTATGCAGAACGAAGTAACTTCCCTCGAGGTTTAATAACAATGAATACACTATTGGAGCATTGTTTTATACCTTATTGAAGTAGCAATATTCATAACCTACTGCCTATACAGGCCAAGGGGTCTTTAGCTGCAGAGGAGCAGGCAAGCAAGGCCAATGCACGGGCTATTGAGCTTGAGAAGCAGGTAGTGGGCTGGTAGAATTCCATGAACTGTTACTGTGACAGAATATTGTGGTTTCTGATCTAACTTCTTCCAGATCGAGAAGCTCAAGAAGGATATTACAGAACAAAAAATAAAAAAAGCAGCTCTGGAGGCTAGGGCTGGCGATGCTGATAAGAAGGTGCAAGAGCTGAATACGAAGCTGGAGAAAGTAAGTGTGCAGCTGTGGTTGCGGAGTTATCTTCTTTGCTACTACATTAGACTACAATTTTTCTCTACTTCACTAAAATTTGCAGTTACTTTTCATTGATTAGCGGTCATGGTGAATTTTCTGTGGTTAGACAGCGAGCATACTTTCTGTGTTATGCTTACTGCTATATTTTTTTCCTTGTTTGAGATTCAGTACTGGTAGTGGTATGGTAGGTGTTCAAAAGTTCCCCATTTTTCTTCTCTGTCCATGTTGATTGTAACTTGTAAGTGAATATGCAATTATACTACACATGAGTGATGAGTCATGAAAATTTGTGGTTGAATTACTCTTATCACTATTTGGTGATTGTAGTCACTTGATAAAAGAAGTTTCGATAGTTGTCGGAGTTCCATGGAATGAAAAAAGAGAGACCAGCCTAGGAGGAAGTAGGTGGCTTTATATTAAGAAAATAGGCACCCAAATTTGCCTCGATAAGTTGAACCTAAGGTGGTCTAGGCATACATCCACACAACCTACCGAGTTAGGCTCAGTTTCCTAGAGTTCCATGGAATGACAGCGTACTACATGTTAGCATTTTCTTATTTATCTTAAGTATAAATGGGGCTCATGTCTTGTTGAGTTGCAATCAAGATGTAAAGACAAAAAAACGTTTGAGGTTATTTCCTTTTGAGAGACAGGCTAGATTGTCAGATCCTGTGTGCTTTCTTTCTTTCTTATCACCTGTTACAGTTTCTGTGTAAGTAGGGTTTAGGCCCCTCAAAAAGAAAAAAAGGGCTTTTACTTCATATTTTTATTTAGCAAGCACCGAGCAGTGTCCTTCTATACTTTTCTTAATAGCTCCAGAAGACAAGCAGTGATCAAAAGCGCAGGATTCAGAAGACTGAACACGCTCTTAAAGTTGCTGAGGTTTGAGAATATCCGACTACTGTGATGCTTTGTTCTGATGTAGCATGTTTCCATTCTGTTCAACCTTTGTTTCTTATGTCTCTAGGAGGAGCTGATGAAGGTGCAGTTGGAAGCAACAACAAAAGCTAAACAGCTGGGAGAGGTAAATATGTATTTAACTCTCTGCTATCCTATCAAGGTTTTTCAGGTTGTTGTAAATTCATTGCAAGGTTTTTGGTGAAACTATCTGATTCACATCTTGGTGCAGTATATCAATGATTTTTTAAAAACACAATTCAAATGCAACTTAACTTGTCAGCTCAGCTGCTCTAATTGTGAATTTGTGATGAAGTTGCATAGAATAGTAAATTCATGTTTGTCAGGTTGAGGTAAATTGATTGGTAAAAGTTTAGTAAATATATCTTCTTCGCATCTTGGTGATGTGTTCCAATGACCTTTCTGACAACACAAATCAATGTAATTCAACTTTTCAGCTGAACTGCTCTAACTGTGAGGAAGCTGAATAGAATAGCAAAGTCCCTTTTTTGCTAAACCCTAGCATACTCCAGTTCTTGGGCATGTAGATGCTATCATGGAACTTCTTGTTCAGTGAGAACTTCCAAACCGCTATGGTTGCCATGAGCAGTTGAGCATGATACTCTTCTATGTTTCATGCCAACCTTACGCCTTCTTTGTTTCATGATTATTGCAATGCATATTATACTGAATGTTTTTCTTCGGCAGGTTCATGGAGCCTGGTTGCCACCTTGGTTAGTGACACATGCAGCACACTCTATGGTACGAGTGGACCTAAAGACTATTCTTCTTTGGTTGCTTTCTCTCATCACATTCATTGTGTTACTATGCAGGAGGTGCTGTCAAATCACTGGAATGAACATGGGAAACCTGCCTTTGACAGCTTGTTGCAGAAGGTGCCGTGTATCTTCTTTGTAGTTCTTTTTATTTATGGATGGAAATTCTGAATTAAATTGATACTTTATCTATCCATTTGACATTTATACCCTGTGAACTAAACAACTGCAGGCATCAGAAAAATCAGCACAGGCAAAGAAATGGGCCGAACCCCATCTGGAAACTGCTAAGACAGTAATATTCTTCTTACATATTCCTGAATCTGTAGTTACTGAAATATGATGTAGCAGGTGTTTTTGAAGCATTAAATATGAATCATATCTTAATGAATTTGTAGCAAATTCTTGACATGTATCATGTTTGTGAATCTGTAGTTGAATAAAGTGTATTTGAAATGTTAAAACTATTTCTAATTTTTAGCATCTTTATTGATTCATTTTTCACTAAAAATGGCATTTCTCTTCTTGAAGAAATGGATGCCTGTCGCTAAAGAAAAGTGGGTTATCTTGAAGAAAAATGCAAAGCCTTATGTCCAAATGGTCTCAGAGAAATCATTGGAGGTTTATCAAACATCAAGTGACTTCATCAGGCCTCATCTTGTAAATGCACATCAAGTTGCTGACCCCTATTTCCAGGTGCATCTCCAGCATTTAAGATTTTATGGCTCCGTGCCACAGTTTTTTCACCAGGTAACCCTGCAAAATCATTGATATATAATTGTTTGATCCTATGTTTTTCAGGAAGCCAAGAAATTATCCAAACCATATATTGATCAAATTGCTACAGCTACTAAACCACATGTTGAGAAAATTAGAACTACTCTCAAGCCCTATACTAAAAGAGCACGCCATGTATATGGACAGTTTCTTGAGACAGCTACTACATATCATCAGCAGGTATTTGTTGTTTCCTTTTCCCATCTACCTTAGTCAAGATCTTTGGTCCCTGTTAATATTCAATTGCTATCTATATTTTTTTGCTTGTAGTTCTTATTTGTCTATGTTTGTTGCTTCCAAATTTTGAAAATCATGGCTGGATTTCTAGCGCACTTTTTAGCTGAGCTTAGTTCTTTTGTTCTTTTATATTCATTCACCAGTATTTCATGTAGCTTCTGCTGTATTCTCTGCTGAAAAACCTTAACACTGAGGTCAAGTTTTTTTTCCCCTTTTGGTATGTGTCGAAACTATTGATTATCAATTGGTTGTTGAGATCTTTGATTGCTTTCTTTTGTGTTAGTAAACATATCAAAACTACTGCTAATTGCAATATGTTTTCCCATCAGTATGATAGATTAGTGTCGATAAGTATAATCAAATACTCAGATCAATAACCACATGCAAGAATCTCAGCCATTTTCTTTTCCAGGCTCAGGCAACTATCTCGGATTACCTTCACCAACATGAATTTACAAAACAATTTGTAACTGAGGAGTTGGTGTGGTATCTGGTAGGCACCAACTAACCAAAAGTTAACTAATTAATTATTTTTTTTACTGTACCTTGCTGTTTTGAACATATGAACATGCTTACGTATTCTCTCTCTTTACAGGCTTCTGCTTTGTTGGTTATGCCCGTCTTTGTTTTGTACACACTCCTAACTGAAACATTTGGGTTTGTGTTTTCTTTTCTCAGTTAGGAGTGACTTTGTTCGCCACCTAATTTGAATATTTTCATTTGCATGTAGTATCAAGAAGCAGAAGAAGAAAACATCACGGAGCAGTAATGCCAACCATGCTCATCGGAGACATAAGCGCCGGCATGCTGACAAATAAACCATTGATAAACACTGTCTTTGGTGTGCTGTATTATAGTTGAAGAAGGTACGACCATTACTGGTTCCCTGTAATACAGATCCATTTTATTTGCTGGTTTGAAAACAAAACGATTTTATTGTTGTATAAATATTGTTTGGCTTTCCAGGGCACTTTGAGTTTTTGACTTCAGTATTTGATTCTGTACCGTGCAGATCATGGAAGTTTGACCATGTTACCTTTCACTGATGAGTTCGTTGTCAGGTATAGACACAATGATCCATCATCGCTGAACCTTGCTGTGTATCTACGAACTATACAATACACACAAGAACTATGTTTCTGCCCCAATTGTGTGTGAAGAGTTGTGGTTGTGGTGTTTTTCATCAGATTAGGGACCACGTGCTTAAATCTGTGGGTGTTCATTTCATAGGTTACTTGTAGCATTGTGCATGTGTTTGAGCTTGTGTAATTTTCATTCTTTTGTCTCGCATTTGTTGATCACTTCAGCTGTAGCTTCCACTCGCTGTATAAGTTTATCTTCGACATTTGGATGCTGTGGTTTGGAGAAACCCTAGTACCAAGGAACCTTAGTTTTAGAAACAAGAGACATGGAAAAGAGGTCTAGAGTGGAGTTACTTCAAAAAGACTAAAGTTTTAAAATACTGTAGTTTTCGAATGTACCATCGCACTTCAAAACCATGGTAGTTGCATCCAAACAGCGCGTTGCTGCACTACATGGCTGTATATATTTGTGTGAACTATGAGTTTGATGTTTACGCGTAATTGCGTAAGCCCCTAATCTACCTCGAATCTGCTTGATGTTTCTTCAAGGGAAAATCCAAATCGAAGCTACGGGCATGTCCCGGTGTTGGAGCAAATCCGGCAGGCGGCCTCACCTGCTGTCGCCCCACCTGTCTTGTCTTGTTGAAGAGAAATTTTGCCACCACTGGGTGGTTTCGTGATGACCATTCGTCCATTCCTGGAACGCCAAGTCACGTAACCATAGCTCAAAATTCAAAGTTTAGGTACTGTTAGGTTTGAAGAAAACATGCACATTTATCAGAAACAATCACACGGACGAGTACACAGAGCCCTGTATGAGCTCAGTACCATGCCTGTTTTTGCTGCACATGACATGCATGTTATCAACCTATCCTGCTCCAATTTCTACAAGCCAAGACAAAAGCTAATAATCCCTAGACAACATTACAACAGCACAACAAAAAACTGAAAAAAGAGAGTAACTTTCAGCTACTGATACTGATACAACAACGGACTACATTAAAGACACCTCAAATCCTGTCGTCCTACATGATCCATAGACCAACATTACACGTTGTCAAGTCGCTCGGCACTTTGGGCGCTGCTGCTGCTGCATGCATGGCAGCCACGCACTCCGATCCACACAGCTACTAGACCTGGTACCCGGCAGGCCAGTACCTCTCCACCAGCTGCTCCACGTCCAAGCTCTGGTACCGGCCCCCGGCCGCGTCCGCGCCGAACCCTCCGTCCGCTCCGGGCACGATCACGCAGCCGCCGAGCCCCGCCGCCGTCGCCATCTGCTGCTGGTGCTGGTGCTCACCTGCCATCACCTGATGATGGTTACCGCCGCCGGCACAGCTCGGCGCCGTCTGGCCGCTCATCGCCATCGCCATCGACATCGCGTGGAGTGCCGCCGCCGCCGGCGGAGGCGGCGACGGCATGGCCGGCGAGGCGCCGAGGTTCAGGTTGAGGCCACAGCCAGAGAGCGTGAACGACGGTGGCGCAGCCACGGCGGCGGCGGGGTTCATGTACGCCGCCGCCGACGTCCCGGGGTGCGGCTGGATGTGCGGGTGCAGCCCCGGCGTGCCGCGGGCGAAGCGCGCGAGCTCGGCCAGGTCGGCCGGGGTCATGTACGGGTGGTGGTGGTGGTGGTGGTGGCGCGCGAAGGGGTCGTGCTGCAGCAGCGTGGGCAGGAGGGGTGGCACCATGTCCAGCGCGTACGGGTGGAGGTGGTGGTGCGACCGCGAGTGCGCGTTGTTGGACGGGTACTTCTTGGCGCCGGCGCTCTTGGCGAACACCCGGCACACCACCCACTCATCCTGCGTGCCATAATCATCAGATAAAACATCTTCATTAATTTATCTAGGATCACAAACTCCGCTGAATATAATGAATTTCGTGAAATATGAATAAAATTTTATAACTTATTTATATAAGTAAGTGTAGTATATATAGATGTATATATACCGTACGTACCCTGTTAGATTTGGGGACTGATTTGGAGTGCAGTCGATACTCATGCATGACCCAGTTTGTCTTCTCACCCCGAGGAGCTCTTCCCTTGTAGAACACCAGGGTTTTCTTCATCCCTACTAGCTCTGGCGTGGCTGGCAGCTGACCGCTGTAGATTTCCTTATCTTTCCCCGTTGTCTTCCAGTAACCAGCGTTAGTGGCACGGTTTGTTCGAACACCTGTTGGGTACTTCCGGTCCCTTAGGCTGAAGAAATACCACTCTTTTTCTCCCAGCTTCGCTTTCTCTGGCATCAGTTCAACAAATAAATACAAATTTCTTTTTTTTTTGCGAATAAATAAATACAACCTTTTCAAAGCTAACTTTTAACCGGTTATATATATTGATGATAGCCCATGAGAATTATATTATCATAAGGTAAGTACCCATAGGAAAATCCATGTGTTCCGGTCTAATGTAGTTACATAAACCCACCTTCCAGAAAAGAAAAGAATGCAATTCTATTAATTCTAGCTTAGTACCGAGCCAAACCATATTTAGTTTGACCAATTTTATACAGAAATGTATCAATGTTAATGATACCATATAAATATCTTTAGATTCATTAGGAAATATATTTTCATAATACGTCTATTTAGCGTCAAATAGTAATACTCTTTTTTATGAATTTGGCTAAACACTAAATAGTTTGACTAAAGGATGAACTAGAATTGCATCCTTTCCCACACGGAGGTATTAATTATTAAGAATTGAAGTTGCAAAACTTTGGGCTGAGCCGTTCTCACTCTACGGTCCAGTGATCAAGAGAGCACAAGCTGGTAAGCATGTCCAAACTCCAAAACGACGTGTACAGAGATAGTATATCATGGTATCCAACTTCATCTCACTATTCTTCTGGATTTACTTTTTCTGGATAGACAAATATATAAGTGTAGATCTCCCTCTAAAAAACTGCTTCATCCACTCTCACGAAATATTGCCATTTGAGTTCTATATGCAATCCACCCATTTAAAAAGACTTTGACCATAAAAACCATGAAAAAAAACAATTTTATACAATTTTTCCATGTCTTGCATATAGTTTATATTGCTGTGGTGGACATATTTGTTGACGTGAAGATGTCTAAAACAACATTGTTGTGACTGGAGAGAGTGCATATCGTTAATAACCGAAAGATAATCCGTATTATTAGGTAGTTGCTATATATTTTAGGTGCCTCCTTTTTAAAAAAATTTAGGCAACAACTCACAAGAGACAACTATTACAATCAAAAGGATAATTCACAAGAGACAAAAAAAAATATTTTTTTTCTATAGCCAAACAATGACAAAATTGCACGTTGCCTAAACAACAACAAAGAATTAGGCACCTGAGATATATGAGAAGTGGTATTATTAACGACACATCCAGTCGTTCATCAGTGGCCAGTAATTTCAAATTAGATATACTAAGAATAAAAGTAATATCAAGGATAAAAAATAGTTGTGCCTTTGAGAACAAATAACTAAGGCCCCGTTTGGCAGGGCTTCTCTAGCGGCTTCAGGAGTCGTTTGGAGCCGTTTTCTGCCAAACGAGATAAAATAAAACGGCTCTACCGATGAAGCCCCTAAAAACGTGCTCTCACAGAGCTTTGGGGTGGGAAGAAGCCAAAAATAATAGCTTCTCTCAGCTTCACCTCATTCTACGTGGCGTTCTCTGAGAGCATATTTTAAGAAAAACTATATGTGAAGCTGTTTTGCCAAACGATTTATCAAAACGGCTACAACTCCACCCATAGAGCTGTTCATGGAGCTGAAGCCCCAAAAAAGGGCTTCATGGGTGAAGTGGAGCCGTGCCAAACGGGGCCTAATTAAGACCATGACTCCATGAGAGCTTGAAATCTCCATATACCTCTTTTGGAAGAGAGGATGCATGCATACGGTCATATGCACAATACACACGCCAAAAGAAAGGGAGAAGAGAAGAGACGAAGATGACAAAATATACATTTAACATAGATTATAGGTATACAAAACCAAGCTAAACTAAGGACGACAGATTAGACAGCAAGAATATAAAATAAAACTTAACAAATAAAGAAAACTTTGAGACCCATTCATGTAGGATATCGATCTGAACGAGTAGTGGTGGTTTTGAGGCTTTTTTTAGCTTTTGACGAAAAACTTGCACCAAAAGCTTGACAATTAGAAAACTCTTCTCATAGGTAAGGTAGATGCTTGGAAATTAACCATGCCCACATCTACACGTACCTAGGTGTTCTATCTATATTTGAATCAGTGGATATAACAAATAAGTAACAATAGCATGATGATATATACGATGCGCCAGATTTTTATGTGTAGATAGACAATATGCTATTCTCCCCTAAAAATGATATTCGTGTCCTTAAAAAGAAGAGAGAAAGATATAATATTAGATTGGTAAACACGCGGATGTTATTGTTAAGAAACAGTGTAGCTTTTTGATGATCAATCATTTATATGTGGAGTTAATTTGGTCGTGAGTATGCATATGCATATATGGGCGTGTATATACAGTTGGTTACTCCGATCCTTACCCGGGAGATCCCACGGCTCGCACTTGTTGAGGTCGACCTCAGCGATGGCCCTTGCCGTGAAGCTGCCGTCGGCGATCTTCTGCCGCAGGTAGTACGTGATGAGCTCCTCGTCCGTCGGGTGGAACCTGAAGCCCGGCGGCAGGCTGTCCTCCTTCTTCGACTCTCCCCCTCCCCCTCCACCACCTCCTCCTGCTGCTGCTGACCCTTCCATACTACTCAGATAAATCGACCGATGGTCTACTAGATCAGAAAACGCGGAGAACCCTAACCCTATCCTGTGCTAGACTCTGCAAAAGATAAAGCTTCCGGTTTCTTGTTGCACTACTACTTGAAGAGGACGGCAGCAGGCAGCTATAACGGATTCAAGAACGAAATGATTAGACAAAAAGGGTTTGATAAGGAGCTAGGCGACGACAGGAGGAGGAAGAAGAGAAGAACACACTGCACACACGGCAGCTCTGTCTCGCTCGCTCCCCTGGTTAAACTTTCCTTGCCCTCTCTGAGATATTTGGGTTGTTTTTTCACGCAAGAGGGCAGAGATATAGGGCCAGCGCCATGAGGGCGGGCTTGACGAGGGAGACGCCTTGGAGAAGCTTTTACCTACCAGGGGTCGTCAGCTACAAGCTGCTACCGGCCTGCTGGCGCGGGTGTGCATGCGTTGTCCTAGTCGCATGTCGCGCGCGTCTTGTTCCACGCGCTCGCCGCTGTATCTTTCAACTCGCCGGGTCTTCTTCATCGCAACAGTGCCCATGGATATGACCGTACGTCGTACTAGCCAGTAGTGTGCAGTACGCCACGCCTTTCACGGCCGCGCCATTTCTTGCTACCTAGTCAATAACTTGATTATGTTATGATAGACTGGTTCGTAGCATCGATTGAGCTGTACCCATATGCAGCTCAATGCTCACATAACATTGCATTCTACCTCTATATATGCAGCTCAGCTAGCTCGATCACCGTTTGCTCAAAATAAACATCACGTACGTATAGGTTCTGCTTATTAGCTGCCATAGATTTTTGCGTTATGCATGTTCAAATCTAGTGTCAAATCCCATCACTCAGTTGGCCATGCATTCATAAACTGAACGCAGTATGAAATCCTTGACAAAAATCAACTCATCATTTGACCTAGAAAAAGAAATCTAGGCAAAACAAGCTACCATAACACATCACATACGTATACGCAAGTAGCCTATCCGATCCGAACAAATTTCACAACTGAAAGTCAATAGTACATGTATATTTCGACCGATGGCAACGTAACTGAATTAGTTTATATACTCCGTGGAGATGTTGTATACAAAGGATTGATCACGGAATTTTGAAACACCTGGCGATCGATGGACGCGCAAACGAAGATAGAGCAGTAGAGCATAGCAAAATTAGCAGCAACAGGATTGGAAAACTGGACAAACAGGACACGTGTGGGTGGGCCCGGGCGCCAGATATGGCCACGTCGGCAGGGGCCCACGCTCCCCTTGACCCGGCTGGAGTAGTAGGAGAGCTGAGAGCGGCAGTCGAGCAGGGGCGCCGGGCCTGGGTTCCCTCTGACCCCAACCAACGCGTAGAAAACAATTGCAGCAGCAGCAGCAGCAGCAAACTGTTCAGCACTTCACAGTCATCTACTACAAGCCTAGGATTATTCCCTTGCGTTATTATTGTTCAGTTTGTAGCTAGCCTGTGGTGTCTTTTCCTTTGGTCTTCCTTCCTTATGCCCCGTTTAGATCCAAAAATTTTTGGATTTTGGCTGCTGTAGCACTTTCGTTTGTATTTGACAATTAGTGTCTAATTATGGACTAATTAGGTTCAAAAGTTTTGTTTCGCGATTTCTCACCTAACTGTGCAATTAGTTTTTTTTTCGTCTACATTTAGTACTCCATGCATGTGCCGCAAAATTCGATGTGACGGGTACTGCGCAAAATTTTTTGGAATCTAAACGGGGCCTTAATCATTGGCACAGAAATGGCTAGTTGCTGCTTGTGGCACAATTTGAATTTGGTGCAAAGTTCAGAGAAAGAGTTGAGCCTGTTTGTTTGTTTGTACTTAAAAATTGAGCATTTTCGTTTTCTTTTGCACATGGCGCATGCAGTTTGTTATGATACCAGTAATTCTTAAGGCTCGGCAACTCTGACATAAAGCATTGTTAGGGGGGAACTGGTTCTTGAATCGTGCCGAGTACACAGAGGACCATGAACCGGTTGGCAGCTTAACTGAAAATTGTTCAGAAGCCGAATAACCCCCCTCACATTTGTATGTAATTCGCGTGTTTCAAACAAAATTGATAAAGCTTTCAGTCGAATAAATGCTGAGAGATGCAGGAATGAATTGGCAAGCACCACAGCTTGAACAACTGAAATGTTGGAAACAGAGTATACCAAACTGTCATCGATCTTGCATTGTCCACTTGCAAGACAGAAAGACACTACCTTGCATTGTGGGCTGTGGCAGTCCAGATTGAGCCAGGTCTTGTGAATATCAAGACAATGACAGCAGGATGCAATCTTGACTAGGGGGTGGGTGTGTGTGTGGGTGTGTGTGTGTGTGTGTGGGGGGGGGGGGGGGGGGGGTACTATACAGCAATTCAAGCAGGACGGTTGGCCAAAAGGCACAGGTTCTAATAACCTGAATCTTGGTCATCACTCACATGCCACAGCAGTACAACACCTCAAATTATTCCCTAAAAAGCAATTCTTCTTTAATATCCTTGCCTAAATCTAGGGTTCTTGTTCACGTTGACCACCCAAATTGCAGTGCTCTCTGACCAGTTCTGTCATACTTACGCCCGTTCAGAAAAATACCCGGTTTTGTCATGTTTAGGCCCTCTCATTTTCTTTGCACTAATTTGTCTGGGGGTGCAGACACTGATAGTTGAGTAGAGCTGAATATCTGTACATTGACTAAATCTCCGCTGAAAGATACTGGTTTTGGTTGTGTCTGAAGTTTCTGAATTCCTTGTGGCAAGAACTGATAGCTCAAGCGATCGGATCATTAAACGCTCGAAGTAAGTAATCTCTTTCTCTTAATGAACCATGCGTGGTTCTCATGGGTATAATCAAAGCAACATGCAGAGGTCTGAGAAGACTGGTTGGTGCCTGCTTATGAACAGCTATTGATATACTGTTCGCTGTGTAACATCTGAAAATGACCCCATGAAAAGAAAGTTCAGGAATTGATAGTTCGAAAAGGTTGGTGCAGTGACTCCAGGGGCATTTTGGTTGCTGATGTTGTTGCATTGAAGTGTGATTAACAAGAATAGGTAAAAGTTTTCTTGTGGGCCAAAGTCCCTCATGGTTTTCTTTCCAGGTTTGATCATTTCCATAAGTTAGGGTTGGTTTCTTGCGGGTTCAGTTTTCCCCACCTCTCTTGGCGTCTCGTGAGCTGCAGCTTCACTGTCAGTGAAGATATCGCAACATGGTGCAACTTGTATTTGCTGCCAGGCCTATGCTGGCTGCTATGAACCATGAGAATGTACTTGAATCTTGGAAAAACTTGGGCCCAACTTTGCAAAATGCAAATCCGGCAGTTCAACAAAAAGGCATTTTTTATGGACGGATTCTTTTTTTGGGTGCACCACGTGAGGTGCACAACATTGTCAACTCAATAACGCTGGATTCTTCGCTGCCCCAACCATTCTAATTTACACTTCCACATTCTAAATTGTAGGTTGGTAGCTTTGTTCTGAGTTAAACTTGTCTAATCTTGACTAAATTTGTAGAAAAAATCACAAACATCTACAACATCAAACTAGATTCATTAAATACATCACGAAATATAATCTGATCTTGTAGATGTTCATATATTTTTCTCTGAGCTTGATTAAATTTAAAGAATTTTGACTTGATAACATAACTAAACTGACTTACACTTTACAGTAAAGGGAGTACTGTAGTTTATTTTAGCTTTATCGTAAGTCAAACCACTGTAACTTTGATCAATATATTAGAAAGTTATGTAACCATTTACAAGTTTAAATAAATGTTCTACGAAACCATATTTCATAGAGAATTTAATGAATACTAATTTGTTGTCCTAGATGTTTGTCCATTTTTTTTCTATAAATTTGGTTGATGTTAAAAAGTCTTGAGAAAGTTAAGGTGAACTATGATTTGGAACAAATGGAGTAATTTTCTATGTTGATTTATTGATGTAAGATTTTCCTTTTTGAGAAATTGGATTTGACAGAAATTCCAAGTTGACCGGAGCCCCTGTCACGGGCTCACGGCCGCACCCGAACTTCACACTCCGACTGAACCAATTGGGATATTTAACTTTTTACCATCATAACGGATGGCGCCTCCTCAAATAGCAGCTTTAGGTTTGGCGCTACGCTTTTAGCAGCAGAGAGAGAAAAACGATACACATTTACCACTTTTGCTCGCATGACACACCAGCTCCGCTGTCCAGCTCGGATCTGAGTCCGCAGACTCAGGTAAAAAGACCTCCCCTGCCCCTGGCGTCTTTATCCTCCCCGCGCAGCCTGGCCCACTCCACTCTCCCTCCCTCCCCCGTCTTTCTCTGCTTCGTGCAACGCCCGTCGTCACCGCCGCCGCCGCTGCCGCCGTGTAAACCGTAGCATTAGAATCTGTACTGATGTATGGTGTAATGAAGTGACAATGTATGAATGAATCCAGTGGCATGAACCAGCAGTACTAAATCCAGTGACATTAACTAGCAGTACTAAATCCAGTGACATGACATGAAACACACATGAAACACACAAAGTTTTGTCACACACATTGTTCTGGCCACACACACTAAGCTGGCCACATACATTGTTTTTGGCCACATACATATCCATATTCTGGCCAACAGAAGGCCTTAGTTACACAAAAGAGACAATTTTGGGCCTTTACAACCAAAATGAATTTGTCCTTGATGGTGCTCTTATTTTTTCTTTTTGTTGGTTGGGCTCTTCCTCACCTTTGTAGCCAGCTGCTTCTTCCTTGGAGTCATTTTCTTAGGTGGTGGGTCCATAGATGCACTTGCTATTTCATCTACCTCATTCACAACTTGTAGATCCCAGCAGAGATTCCTGCTGAATGCAAGACATGTTATCAGAATAACAACAATAAGTGGTTGAAGGTGGTGCATGCTCAACCTCAATTGGCGCCACATCTAGGACTTCTCTCTCTGTAGCAGCTGCAGCTTCAGCTGTTGCAGAAGCTTTAGCTGTAGCTTCTAGAGCCTCCCTTGCTGCCTTAGCTGCTTCTT